GAACTTTATTTATATATTTTATAAGTTTAAGAATTCATTTATTCTTATGTTAATCATAAAATTTAAGGTTATTTTTCCATTTTACTTAATTGTGAAAGCTTATCGTATTGGGCTCAAAATACAGGTCTCGTGGTAGCCCACACTTAACACAGCGAATCACCATTTTTTTTAGTAATATTGAATTTTGATAAACTCAACTACAATAAAGTAATCACGACAATTGAGATTTGACTCACGGAAGCTTTTGTCTCCATGATTCGACTGTAACAACGTACATACATTCTAGATGTGCGGAGTAATCTTTCACATGGTTTTTATTTTGCATATTACAGTCCTGAACCCCTTCCATCGAGAAGCCTTTCGATCAATAGAAAAATTATAGAAAAGGACAGCACGGTTCCTACAATGTGCTCTCTCTTTCTATTCTCGATTACACTTTCTGAAGCTTCAATGAGCAGTCCAGTACTATATGTCGATGGGGGAGATGGACAACGCTACGGTTTTAGGAGCTCCGCAAAGTTAGCCCCCCCCCCCCGACTTTGACTTTCGACATTTTTCTTTTTACCAATCGATTGGTGGTCGTTTGGTGGTATTTGGTAGTCCATTCAAAACGGTTGGTGGTTTTCGGTTTACTTTCAAAATCCATAACAAATTTTTAGCATTAAGTTAGCCCCCCTCCCACTTCGACTTTTGACATTTTTCTTTTTACCAATCGATTGGTGGTCGTTTGGTGGTATTTGGTAGTCCATTCAAAACGGTTGGTGGTTTTCGGTTTACTTTCAAAATCCATAACAAATTTTTAGCATTAAGTTAGCCCCCCTCCCACTTCGACTTTTGACATTTTTCTTTTTACCAATCGATTGGTGGTCGTTTGGTGGTATTTGGTCAGTATTAACTAATCGGTTTAAGACCGTCGTTTAAACATAGCGTTAGTTTCCACCGTGCAGAGTTTAAACAGAGTTAACCAATTACGTATAGGGGTTGAATGGAATTGACCAATAGGGCTGCTTGACTCTGTTTAAACTCTGCACGGTGGAAACTAAGCTATATGCATAGTTGTATGTATTGTGACGTGAATTTTTGACAATCCACGCCACAAACGACCCGCAGGAGGAGGGATGTAGGAATTAACTGTTTAACGCTCCAAACGTCAGTCCTAGGTTAAGGCGCACAGATCCCTTACTATTAAGTAACCCGCCTGTCGTCCGCTTTAATGTTTCTTTGCTTGGTTTTATTTGCATACTGCTTGCTTTCTTTTTCTTTATCTTTCTTTGGATAATGTATGACGCTTTGGTGAAACCGATTGGTGTGAGAGCTGGTGGAACAATGCCGAACAACGGGGGAAGTGAGGAAAGAGGCGCTGATTTTTGGTGACCCATGGAGACCGACTGCCGCCGCTTCACGAGGAGGGGATGCTGCATCCAAGGAATCAGGAGAGTCCAGAGTCCCCGGGATGGGGCTCATGCTTTCGTCTGCCGGCCGTCCAGCTGGAACGCCCTACGACCGACGCCGCCCTTGCCGCCGACCAGGAGTTGACGTGTCCTCCTCGTCCTGCCGCGGGGCCGCGAGAATATCTACGGCGGGCTCAGGCCGATGTACCGCCGGTGACAGGGAGGGAGAGCAGCCAGCACCGCGGACTCCCGCGATCCCTGGCCTACGAACGGACCGCAGCACCCGAAGACTCCCGAACGTGCCGCCGACAGCTTCGGTCATCTTCGTGACTAGCGATGATCCTCGCCGCGAAAAACCCCTTAAGCAATTAATACGTTCGAAGTTCGATGTTTTGTCACGGTTCCGCCAGCGCCCAAATAATGTAAATAGTGTGGGTCAAGAGGTCTCGAGCTCAGTGAAATTGAAATAGTACTACACTTACGTTTGGAGCTTATTAGTGAGTGGTCGAATAGGAAAAGTAGTAAGCGTAGTCAAAAGAAGAAAGAACGTAGAATTGATAACGGAAAAGATATAGAAGGAAGGAAGGAAGCCCTTCTGGCTTTTGAGACCTTGATATTCGTTGCCGCTACGAGATTTGGCGAGACCCTTGACTACCTTTATAAATTGGCGAAATTATTTCTTGGTGTTAGCGAAAAATTACCGTTTAGGCCTTCTGCCTCAGCGGACGTATCTCCGATTTTGAGAGTGCCGATGTGAATGTCTTCCCGCATCGGGCTAGCAAAAAGGACGATAGTGCTGGGCTTTGCGATTTAGTGGTATTTCGATAATTTTCTGTTTGTTTGATTTTTGCCGCATGAGGCCCTAAAGTAAGTTCTATACTGGGATCTGTCTCTAAATTAAGTTATCTTTCATAATAAATTCTTTCAGTAGCGCCACGCTTTTAGGCGATATTTCATATTATAATTTATTGATGTCTCACATCTTCTAGTTCCTGTTCATTGCTTATAGATTTTCCGAATTATTTAATGGCTGAATATTGAGCGCCCCTCTGGCCTAATAGACTCTTAGAAATCCTTTGTTCTCGAGGTATCCACTCGACCCTCGCGGCGACCGCGTGTGTTTTCGCCGGCCGTATTTGCAGTTCCTTCTGAACACGGCCAATTAATAGCCACAATGAATATTCTAAAATAAATCTATCATATCAAAAAGGGTTTAAACAGGCAACTATAGGATGCTTTTAGTTTTAATAATTATATTGTATGCTCTCGCTATTTATGTGATTTCTTGGTGTTATCTATTCTGTATTTTGTATTTGTCGCGTGCTTTGCTGTTACTTTTCGAATCTCCGGGTGCCGCGATGGACTCTTTCCTATTCGCGTAAAGCTTTGTTAAAATCTAGAGAATTGTAGTCGCGATTTCGCCGGAATCTGTGTTCGTGATTCCTATTTATTCGTGTGTTCTTTGGCGCTTGTGATCTGTTCTATTTATCTAGCGCCGTTTGTGAAGAGATATGAATAATCGATTTAGTCTCCGAAAATTATTCTAAAGTCGAATTGCTAGGGACGGCCCTGTGCCGCGAGCGCGTCACGAGCCTCACCGCTCCTCGCGAATCCACACTACGCCCGCGCCGACGAACTCACCGAGCTCGACGCTCACGCGTGCGCTGACTAACGCGCGATAGCCGCCGCGCTACTCGATGCGAAACGCCGTAGATCGCTGTACACCGTGCTAAGAAATTATGATAACGTATTTCGGCGACTATTGTCTAATATTATCTGTCCGATTGATGTTCGTGGAATCGTTCCGCATTGCTAGCGTCTTTTGCGTTTGTCTTTCCGCGTTAGTTGAAGTCCATTCTTCATTGTAATCTTTCCGCATTTCAGTAAATTCATTAGAGCGTATTATTTAGTGTGGCGAATCTTGTACCTTTAGAATCCGTAGACTTTGCGTTTTTGAATTATATAAAGTCACCCTTTCGACGTTCAACTGATATAATTGGTAGATTTTCTTGCTTATGTTTCTCCGATTACTAATCATTCTATTGCTGGCTTATCTATACTTACGTTTTTCTTTCCGCATGTATATTATAGTAATTTCCTTAAATTAACTTGAGATTAGGTTTAGTGACTTTGTGAACGGGTGGCACGTCTTAGGACCGTTGGCGTCGCCCCCGGATCCGTTAAATTCTTAGTGATAACTTTGTGAACGAGAGATCCGTCTTAGGTTGTTGGCGTGGTCCTCGCTTCCGTAGTATTCGTGTTTAGTTTTAGTGTAACCCGGCCTTTTCCGAATTGGGTAAAGTATTTAGTGACAAAGAGAGTGCGTTGCACTCGTGGTACTTCCGCGAGGGATACCTGGCGCCCAACCCGTGATTTCGTGTTGGTCATAGGAGGTAGAGAAAGAGAGGACCATTGCGGGTCGTTTTTGCTAACGGGTGATCTATTGGTCATCGATTGATATTTCATTTTTGGGTTGGTTTGGGGAAAACCTTAGGTAACAAACTTTGGTGACCCTTCTGGGACACGGAAAACAGAGATCTCGCTATCGTTGCAGTATGTACATACATATCGGGTTAGATCTTATCCTGTTCAATGCAGGTAAAGAAAGATACCATGATATTCGTAAATACTGAGGATATGTTTCAAAATTCACTGTCAGTACTACAAGTATCGTCGTGGTCCCTATTTACCTATTCCCGCAATTATTGAATTTGCACTAAGGCTTAAATTTAAACTACACTTGATCAGTGTACCTTCTCAAATTATATAAACATCATACACTAGATTTCTACGCGCAGCTAAGCTAAAATGTACGTACGATTAATTTTCAGACGGTAAGGATTGAAAATATACACTTCTTTTAACAGATGCTATATTGGTTGTAGACACATTTGAGGTACGCCAGAAAAGAAAGAATAATGGATGTTTCCTTCGACGCGGTTCAATGCACAAATCGGTTTAACTGAGGTGTTAGCCAATCAGTAGACACTTGTATTTTGAAAGTAAACGCAGTTTATACATTGAACCGTGCTGAAGAACATAGGCATAAGGCTTCATCTACAACAGAACATGGTTCGTAGACGTTTGTCGTACGTCTCTGTACTAGAAGCCAATCAGAATTATTGGCTTAGTTTCCACCGTGCAGAGTTTAAACAGAGTCAAGCAGTCCTATTGGTCAATTCCATTCAACCCCTATACGTGATTGGTTAACTCTGATTAAAGTCTGCACGGTGGAAACTAACGCTATGTAGACGACGGTCTTAAACCGATTAGTTAATACTGACCAAATACCAACAAACGACCACCAATCGATTGGTAAAAAAAAAAATGTCGAAAGTCAAAGTGGGGGGGCTAACTTTGCGGAGCTGGTTTTAGGCGATACCAAAAGCATGGCGCTAAATCGTAGCGGCGAGTCCTGGAGTCCGAGCAGGTGGCGGCACTATTCCATGCGATTCGCATTACATTTGATAGATGACGCTACGTTAAAAATCTAAGTCACTAGCAGCCAACTTCAGTTCGAAGTCGTATACTGCAGTTTACCCGATAATGCATTTAGTGCCATCTGTTAGCGAATATATGAAATTACATTCAAAAAGAACTGTTGTCTGGTTGCCATGGATGCAAATATGACAACAGTAATTTACAGTATGTTAAACATAAGTTTGGAACTGTCAAATGAAGTATGAACAAAACTACATAGTGTCAGTGTATAAAAGTATTAATTTTTGTATAGACCGAAATGATTTCCACAGTGTCAGACTTTATTTCAGGATCAACCACAAATGCCTATCATCCAAAATCAAAGGATCTTGACTTATGTTATGCATATCCCAAGCTGGAAAAGCTAGATAAACTTAATGACGTGCTTAGCAGGGATATCAGAGACTATAGAAGCTTTCGGAAAAAGACTCTTTTCGAGGAAGATGGTATTTACATTGGTGCACAAGGTCCACTTACAAAAACAGTAGTGAAGCCTTATCAGCTCGAACGGAGAGTTGTTACTCGATTTACACCACGGCAGAATGGTAAACTCATGGAAATTGCTATACGAGAGGTCAAATTTATTACTATTGGTAATTCAAGTTCTATGATTCAAGTCACAGCTGTAGCAATCTTGTTTCATTCAAAAATTATTTGCAAATCTACTTCTCCATTTAATAGACAACTGTATAAAATCTTAATGAGAAATTCCACTGAGCCTAACAGTCTATCAATACAAGTATTTACGAATCATGAAAACTCAAGCATGTTACCATTGCCATTACCAAAGTGTTGTATAAAAAACCACAAACTTGAGATAGAATTTTCTATTAAAACCAAAGAAGGAAAAATCCATTCCGGAATTGTATTCTGTACAGTGGGTCTAAATATTCAAGAATCACAATCAAGAAATCCAGGCTCCACATATTTTTACACTTCTAGTAATGATCCAAATGATCCTAGAAACTGTATGACGCTACTGAAGCCAAAAAAATTTAATTCCTTAAATGATGTGAATTATTTTCTCTTGGAAGATCCAGCTTTGTGCCTTTCTGGAGATATTGCAACTTCTAAGTCCTACGTAAAGTTACCATGCCCTAATGACAATGTGATAATAGAACAGCCGGCTCTTTCCATCTTGGATATTCCCTTCAGAGACTGGTTTAATATCAGAAGACCTTTGAGACCCTCTTCGGGATATAGCAACAAGCATCGAGTCAACAGAAAAGAGGTCTTAGTGGTGAGCATACTTCGTGGTGTGGAGGTCCCGATTCGTGAAGAGTCTGCTCAAATACAACCGCTTGTCGAGGTAGAATGGTGCGATACAATTCGTCACACAAAGGTATCAGAAGGTCCAGCTCCAATTTGGCAAGAAACTTTAAAGTTTGAAGTTGCTCTGACAACCAAGGAGCATTTTTTAACCGTGAGGCTTTTTGATCAGCACCCTATATGGGGTTTACAGTTCCTTGGTGAAACCAAGATACCCATAGACAGAGAGAGAAGGCATCAGGAAATGGAAAGATGGGTCAGCTTATCTCCTTTGTGTTCACCTTTATTATCATTTGGCTATGTTCCAGCTAGTCCTGGCAGTTCGTGGACTAGAATTTATGTCTTAATAAGATTTGATCAGCCCTGTAGTAACAGACTACCAGAAATAGGATCAGTCGAACGTCTCGAGAAAGCAATACAAAGATGTATAACAGTACCATATAAAATACCCAATATCGAAGAACCAGAAGATGCTTTGAGACTCGCAGTACTCTTGGAAAACTTACCTGCACACTATGGACCTCTTGCACCGAGGCAAGCTCTTCGTTTGAATAAAGTCGACATTTATGGAAGAGCAGCTCTGCTCGCCGTTTTCCTCCAGGGTCTTGGACTTCATGCTTATGTACTCTTGGGTAATTTGCACTTAAATTATGCTTCTTTAGCCATCCTTAAGTTAAATTATGAATTATATATTAAACTAATGTTAAGCACGTCTTTTTTTAAAATCTTCCAACAAACATAACTATGCCGCCTTAATTAAACGAAATTAGCTGACAGTAGTCGAACCAGATTTTGCCGCGAACCGGCATGAATTATCAAACTCAATGTATAATAGAAATTCGATTTCTGCAAAATTTAAAAAAACACATTGAATTTCATAATCCTCATTTTAGGCGTTTCACAAATAAGAAAATGGGCAACCTTCGTTCTAACCATGGACGATAATATCCCAATTTTATGGGATCCTGAAAATGGCGAACATTATGACTTGGGCGACAATCGTTGCTCCCTAATAAGTGTATCTCGCTTAATAAATCATCAAAACGTAATTATCAATTATTTTCATTAAGAATCCATCTTTATTTAATTGCCTGACACTCTAAAAAATTGACACCTATAACCAAAATTGCTTGTATCCATAATGTACCCTGAACCCATTGAAACCCAAGTGACTCTTTAACGTCTATCAAATTTTACAGATCTGGCAAAACATTCAAAAGTCAACGACGCCTCTAAATTTGAGATATAACGTTAAGAATATCAAAGATTGGCGTCCAATTGGTCCAGGAACAGGACCCGGCATTAGGCCGGTGCAAATTCTTCAATTGCGCAATGAATTCAACGAGCAGAACGACATAGAAGTTTCACAAAAAATGGAGGACACCCTAAAGGCGAAATTGAGCGAATGGCGAAGTGCGCTGAGTTTACCAACGATATTTAATCGTCACGCTACTTCGATTCTTCGTACATTCATCTCAAAATTAAATGACACGCCTAGAGCCCGGCTTGATAAAAAGGAATTACGACAGTTGTACAGGGCTTATCATACTCATGGCTTCGTTTTGAATTTACGTCACATGAGCTTAGATGACCTGACATCGCAATTTCGTACAATAAAATTACAGGAGACGACTGGACCAGTGGAATTTTCTCTAGTCTGTCACCTGCAACGTTTTGTAGGAAATACGTGTTCCATATGGTTGGCGACTGTAGTGATAAGGAGCAAAGACTAATTAAATTGATCCAGTTAATCAGACTAATTAAGAATAATTAAAAGAATCATCACATTTTCCCAGGTCAATTTGACAGAGTGAGCTATCTGTTGTGTTCTTTGCAAAATAGTTTTTACGATTAAGGATTCTGGCGATAAGATGGAAAAATAATGAAATTCAATAATATGATAAGACTAACTAATTACTCCTGGTCAGAAGTTAAAAGTGGAAATGAATGCGTGCGTTAGACACGTATGAAGAAAATAATTGAGTGTTACATTATAAGTCGATGGATTTTTCTTTGTCTTTTAATAAAAATTGTAATATCCATTACGTTCGTGACAATGGTAAAGACAAATAACAAAGTTTAATTATTGCCTAGAATTTATACGTTAAACGTGGAGCTATGACCATCGGTCGATTCTAACATTTCTTCCTTTATTGTCCACATTTCTGCACCAGTTCCTATGATTTTCACTTCCTTCCTGGCTCTCTGTTCTATTACATTGTCAATGAGATACTTGATCGCTAATTTCATGAGATGAAGGAGATAAACGATTTTGCATGCTATGTAGAAAATTGAGAATGTAAAAAAGATCTTAGTCCATCTCTCCTGGCTGATAGTGAATACTGTTGGACTGTCACGGTGGAACGGTTAATTGTTCTTATGGAATTAAAATAAGAATAACGAATCGACAATTAAAGAAAGTTACACTGGACAAGGCTAAACATTATCAGCAACTTCCACTCCAACACATTCACGGTAACTCAGAATCTATTTACAGTCGCAGAAAAAAAAAATAGATTTCAGTCGTGCCCCTTCACGCAGTTTGATTGGACCAGAATATCAGAGGATCCAATTCGGCTGATCTCGATGAATTTCTTGAAAACCAAAAGAGGATCCACTTTAAAACGTCTAGCGGTGTTATCCAAAATCACTGTTGTTTCCTCTTGGTTACTCCATTCGTGTAGCCATTACTATGTCCATTAGATAAACTTCCGTTACTCGCCTTAGCCTTCAGTTCCTTCGTTCTTGCTGCCAATCGACTGGCTGCATACACTCGTTTACCCTTTGAAACGAAAACGAAAAGATATTTACATTCACAGTGGAAGAACTCGTTCGAAATTAAGTATCAACTGCTTTATTCCTTATTTTTTTCAATTCTAAAGTTTAGAACACTTACCTTGGCGATGTAAGCTTTCGCATAGAAATTTCCAAAGAGAACAATGAAGGAGATCATATAGATGACAAGGGCATATTGCATCCAAAGAGGAAAATCACAGCCTGATCTGATTCCATTGATTCCAAGAATGAGAGCAGTGGTGAACTGAATCAATTGGAGAATGGTGAGGTACTTCTTCCACCATAAGTATTTGGATACCGATGGTCCAAGAGCAGCCAATCCATAATAGGAATACATCAATACGTGAATAAAACTGTTCACCATTGCAGGTAAGAAGGCTGTAAAACAAGTAAGAAAAGATAATAACCAAGTCTTCTAAAGCAGTAAATACACTTATTAGTATATTTGCAATGAAAACTTACTCGATCCGCTGGGGACCCATTTTATTCCAATCCACCAAAGTGAAAACATGGTGGAGTGATGATAAACGTGAAGGAAGCTCAGTTGATTATCCTTCTTCCTGAGGATGAAGAAAAACGTGTCGCAGAACTCGAGAAGCTTGCTGAAGTAGTACCACCAAACGGCGTGGGCAATCTGATCGAATACAAAAAAAAATGAAAAATTAAACCGCGCCCTTGAAGTTCCTTGGTGCGGCGACGCTATCTTTTTCTCTCATCGTGTACCTGAAGTTCGTCAGGCCTCGTCACGTGTCTAATCGGTTGGCAAACGTAGCTGTAACGTAATCTGGTTGACGCCACAAAAAGCTGAATAGAGAGAAGAAGCAAAAGGCAATGTTAATTAAAGTTTCCCAATACCTTCATCTATTTCATAAAAAAAAAAATGTTTAAACTATTCTTACTCACTTGGATTGCTATATAGGCATTAAGGCAGGCCATGGCAAGATTATAGGGCACCAAGGCCCAAGTAAGCTTGAATGCTTTTCTCTTCTTCATGACCTTAGGTCCAGCCCAGACAATCAGGAGATAGAGCATAGTATAGATAAGGGTAGGTCTAGGAGAATCCACTAGGAGCCATCCTCTCGTTCTTTCATCTATCATGAACGTTCAATAATGTAACGAAGAAAGTACTACAGAACTACTACAAAGAAATATTATTTTCTTTAAACAGACTTTGAGAACAGTACCTGCCAGTGAGAGGGTCCACAGATAATAATCATAAGCGTCGTTTATGAAGGTTGTCGTAGTATTGATAAGAGCCGCCATTTCCTAAAAAAGAAGAAACGAATTTACATTTAAACTCTGACGATATATCTATACCTATGCAATCCTTCCTCCAAACTAAGAAATAAATAGAATGCTCGCCATTAGCCAATAGAACGAGTAAATTCGAATTACAATTAGCGTCCGCGTGTTAATTAAAATAATCCTGTAGGTTCACCGGATAATTAGAAATTCGATACCTGTCATCAAATAGAGATTCCTATACTCAAGCTAATACTGAGAACCTTATACAAGACAAATCATTTAAGCTGTACACAGATACAATAAAGTATCTGTAATACCTATAATACCAGTAATACCTATTCTATTTTTAGCTTAAAAAAATTGATAAACACCATTAGGCATTGTATGCATTATGATTTTGGACTTACCTGACGAGATCTTTTGTAAGAGAAGCAGAGAAGCAGAGAATAACCAAGGAAATTCGTACCGTTCACGAGGGACGTTTATCAGGGTGAGTTCAAAACATACATGTTAGGGATTAACTGAAAGCCCGCGAATAGAATGAATATTTGAAAATCTACCCAACGCGCGACTTTTTCACGAAACGACGTAAAACTAATAGAACGAAGAAAATCGAGGGTTGACGAGGACAAGGAAGAGACGAAGCAGCTTCGTCGTCGGCCTTGGATGGCAAAGTGGCAGCGCCTCTTACGAGCTATCGCCTCTCATTTATAACTTTTGTCAAGGAGAGGAGGAAATCGTGGAGGAGGACAAGAGAAGGTTAACGGGGCCGAATCCTCCGCATCTTTCTCCTAATCTTTCACCGTCTCTCTCTCTCTCTAGAACACCCTGTCGTCCTCTCCATCATTTATCCCTCTCATATCCTCTAACTCCAAGGTAATACTTTTGCCATTATAACATGCGTGCATAGATCCGCCATACAGCATACACGTAGACAGAGATAGAAGAAATGCAACCAGAAATCTAGTATTGATTTTCAGTTATCAATCAGCAACAATCATTATTAATCAATTCGAGCCTCTGGCACTCTGAATTAAGCAAACGAACTGTTTGTGTCATTTTACTGTAACTCAGATTTAACTGTCATTTATAATTAAACAATATCACTGGTAACTGTTGATGATTTTCATAAATCATGGACTTCCCTTGTATTTCCTATAGAACTACAAGCAGCACGAGAACCCTGCTTAAATTCATCCTGACTATCGGACTGGACAGCTACATTTGTCTTCGATGCAGAAAATACAAAAAACGAGGTCGATCCCACGACTGGTCCAGGTTCCGGACTTTGAACCTCGCAGGAGTAGGTCGCTGCACCAAATATTGAAGATGGAATATTGTTGAAGAGAAACGAAATCTGTTACTGTTACGTTGGTACGTATAGATGGATTTAGTGGGACGCTCAGTATATACATACTGATTGGTCAACGTGTTTCAGATTATTCCTCTCTTCCCTCTTGACGGACACTACATTATGGTAGGAGAGGAATTCGACAAGGAAGATCTCTCCCACTTGAGTAAATTAAATCACTGTATCAGTAGAGAAAGAAAAGAAACATAAATATAAAATGAATTAGCAAAACCGCACAGTCCCCAGCGACAAGGCTTATCTCAGCAGGAGAAAACGAATTTTTAAAATCGAATGCAGCATTCGTTTCCTTTCGTTTACGTATGTAGCTTAACGGTACCTAACTCGCGACCAGTGACCAAGAAAATAAGAGGAAGAAAACAGTGCGGAGAAAAACAAATAGAAGAATCGAAACGCACAGTCTCAGCACACCTTTCTTGGTACAAGTAAATTTCATTTTTTTGTCTCTTGCAGATATCTCTTTTCTCAAAAACGGCACTGCTTCAACGAATGTAAATGGCGAAGGATCGAGCAATATTTGTCAGTGAATATTTGACGAGAATTTCCAAATAACACTAATGACAACCGGAAGTACTCAAAAGTCCCACATAGAAGTCTTGCTACGTGTACAGTTTTATTTCTCAGAGCACCTATCCCTGAAGACTGCAAAGAAAAAAGAACACAGCAGAATGATTTTGATTTATTTACCTGCACTTTGTGATTGACCAATTACGACAAACGCAGAGGCAATGAAATTCGCCAAGGTTGCCATATTAGTGTGATTTAGGAGAAAGTTTCGACGCTGTACCAAGTGACATAAATTTCTAAGAAGGAAGAGGCGCCTTCTATCTCACTTATTTAGTACCTAACTGGACATCCTTTTAGAAAGCAGAGCAATTCATGGGGAGTTATGTGATTATCAAAAGATGTATTGCTAACGGTGTCATCAAAGAAGACAGAGGTGCAGAGACTCTTCAGCGTCATTACTAAGAATGACGTTGTTCTCACATGAGAAGAAGCACCATAGGACTTAAATATATATGTATACTGATTATTGGAATAACGACCTGGATCCTGAACCGGATTCAGGGTTAAATTGTACATACTATATTAAAATAATAAACCACTTTCCTCAAAGGGAGACTACATTAGTTTATTCATGAGGATGAGAGTTGAGCAACCTCCTCTACTCTTAAGATATTTCCTTGTTCTTGTACAAAATGAAGATTACCTTTTACAATCAAATATAATCTATTTACAATAATGAGACATTCAAATTGTCATATACCGAATTAAATTGCTAATATTCCAAAATAACATGAATTTCTCATAAAAATGTTGTTTTTTTACATAACCTACTGACTTCCAGGTTGTTCAATACAAAATTTTCTTACTGTCAGATATTATTATTTTACGCTCACCCTGGCAACACTTCACGGTGTACCGTTACCTTGCTAACACACCCTAGGTATCTATAGAATTATAAAAGTATTCTATGAAAATACAGAATGAAGAATATTTACTATCGAATCGCACGTATGGGATACGTTATCGCTAGATAAATATATTAGTGAAATTTTTTATTAAGAAAACATTTTGCATTCCTGAATCATGCAATAAAAGATGCATCAGTTCCACATGGCGAAGTATTAATCCAGAAACGGCGTTGATAAAGGCTTGAAAGGTCTTAGTAAACTTGTTATTTGCTCGTGACATTTAGATTCCTTTTTAGTTGCACTATCTTCTACTTATTGTTGTCAGATAGACTTGTTCCCAATATAAAATCGATATACCGTTGTGTGCGTATGTATTATACAGACGAATAACGAGTAGAACGGGTACCGTTTCTACAAGAACAGGTTGATCGTTCAATCGCACCAACGATAGAAGAATTACAGTTTCACTTCTAGAGTCTTTAACACCACGTGCTCGCGGCTAATATTAGACATATTAGTAGCCATATAGTCAGAGTTTCGCTCTTTACGAGATTGAAATTTAGTTAAAGAATATCTAGTCGATTAACAGAAGTCAATAAAATGGTGCCAAAGCAAAAAACAAGTTTGTAACTAAGATCCAGTGATATTTCACTGCTCAAGCTTTGTCATAAAAAAGAAAAAGATATTGACAGCTGGATCTAATTAAGGAAGTACAGTAATGTTTAGAAGGATATGAAAAAGTCTAAAAATTTTTAATGCTTGGGAGGATTCATTGCAGGTGGAAAAAGTGATTACAAAGATCCATCCTACAAAGAAGAGACTGATTATGCACTTTCCCACGTTGCAGCAATGCACTTGGACTTTCGAAGTCAATGCCTGGATGGCCAAGGTGACTTTCATCTAGCCAGTTTATCGAACGGATATAAGAAAGATACTGGAACTGCACGTATGCACCCGTTGCATAGATGTGCATATACAGGCACGCATACCCTTATGGACTATCTGTATGCAGCGAAAGTGAATGCACTTAGGCGCATGGAGCCTGATCGAGTTCTTCTCCATTAATACTTCCTACATAGAATTAGCAATTAAGAAAACAGATTTCAACAGTCTTAGGATTCTCCAATGAGAGTACAGTAACCACGTGCAGTGTACAATTAATATTTTACAGAGACAGAAAGGCATGATCAAAGTAATTAGTAATTGAAAATTTCCTTTCTAACAGCAGCTGTCGCTTTTACGTCCAAGTAATGCAAGACGTTTTAAAACGATCCAGCAATAAAAAGAGTTTCTGGATCTCTCAATGATGACGGTGACGGTAAGAATTCCCCATAGACCTCAGAGGGTGAACGTCGTTGTGAGAAACGTCGTTGTAAGATATAAACAGGACATGGATGTGAAGTACATATACGTACATCGTGGCACAGTGTAGATATTAAATAATGATTGGTGACTTTAAATAAACAACTTTAATTACTAAACTCGAGCAATCAATCAATTTTTCTATAATCTCTTAAAGTTTCTCTTCCTTATTTGAAATGTATATTCTACAACGTATTCGAATGTGTGTCGTTCGCTCTCTTTCTACGCTGAAGGGTTGACCTGTCAAAATTTCATGAATTTCTGACGGATACTTCAGAATGACTATTACATTCAATGGATCATTAAATTAGACCAGCAAAGGAGCATACGTGTGACTGAAGATACGTGGCTTGGTTAAAAAGGGAGGAGCATGTGTTAAGGGTGCTAAAAAGTTTGAGACTTGCCATCAAGTATACGAACCTTTCAGGCAAATTAGTCGAACAGCCGACTGTGCGTGTTGGACAGCAATGTTGACAGACCGTTGTCCGAGTACACGGTGAAGCAACGTTTAAAACGTTGCACGTTTCTTGATTGTCTCACAGTAGCTATTTTACTTCCATCTTATTCACTAAATACTACAGGCAGTCTACCCGGCTTATCAGGCACTGGAGGGTGTAGTCACTCGCGGCCATAGCTCGAATCAATACAGCCCTTATGGCGGCTCCCACCCTGCTTTCCTGCTTTCTGGATCCCCTTCTATTTAGTCCTAAACAAAAAATAATTAAATTTAATTACGAGCTTTATTAGATATTTGAAAATTTGTATTTTTAACTGTAACTATACGGTACAAGATTACTAATATTTTATAATTAAATTTTCATTGATCCGTCAACGTGAAGGTACTGCGTCGATCAGACCTTTTGAATAGTTGCTTGCTACTCTAACGACGGGATGTAATATTCATTTTAAACACAAGACCCGATCTTCGCTTGCGTTCTGTAGAAAATTTAAAGAATCGTTGATACCATTACTATTTTCTATTTTTAAAGGTCTTATTTCAAAACCTCTGGAAGACCAAACATCCACGAATGGATATATTTAGAACCTTGAAGAATCTCTTTTTTTTCTTCAGCAAAACAACTTCATTCCTCTAAAAACCTTCAAGCATCAGTCATTGGCATAGTTGTGCATAATGAGTCTCTAACTGAAAGTATCAAAAGAATATTGAAAATGTCAAACGCTGGTAGAATGTTTATGCGAGGAGTACGTGAAAAGATTTTATGAGTACTCATTAACAATGTGTAAACACACAAGGATCGGCAAATGAGACCAGTCGTACAGCATCACAAGAGATCAATGCAAAGAGTCCAAAAGCAAAGAGAGAAAGTGGGTGAAGCCTGGGGATCACAGAAACGGCGCCTGCTTTCCAGCAATGAATTTCTCTGCTTTCCATCAGGAGTACAGTTATAGCAGCCTCAGAGTATCACAACAGAAGGTGTTAGATAGGTTTGGAAGATAAAAAGAAAAAAAAAAGAGTTATTACCAAGAGACGCTTGACCACGTGCTATAGCAACTAGGCGTCAGCGTAGTAGGAGGTAGCGAGAAATAGTAGAGAAAGAAAAGAAAAGAAAACCAATGGCCATTCGAATCGTATATCGAGGTCATAAGGTCTGTAAAGATCACGTGTCTGTGACGACCACAGGTTGTAGCTTCAGCGTTAAACTCGCATACAGGAATCAAGAGGTTAGCTATGCCTGGGGCACATGCGCCATAATCATAGATTGATATACAGTCTCCGTACAAAGCCTTCCGTTATCTGCCGAAAAATTTACGCCGAATAATTGTACATGTGTTAATTCAAGCACAGCAGGATACCTTCTCTCATCTCGACAAAAAGTTCACAAACAACTCGTTGCCGAAGTCTCGTGACGCATTTGAGCTTCCGTCACGCGATAAGTGTTGGAATTCAAACAATTGTCAATGCGCATGCGCACTGGTAGAACGCAACAGAGAACTGGACACGAATCCTTAAATGTCCTGACTTTTAATTGAGTTCAGGAATTGACCGCAATACAACTGTTGACGCGAGTTCGATCTCTTTGATCTTATACAGAGTGTTGCATGCATTTATATAATACTTACGTCTACTCTTCGATTGTAAGACCAAAAGAAATAACAAAAGTGCAGGATTGATTGATGCATGAATTACGGTTTTTGAGTATATCGACTACTATCTGATATTCAATAAGAGTTAATCGACTTCATACTCCCTGTTTAATTGTATGACAATATCCTCTGGACCGAAAGTCTATCTTGTCCCTAATCTACTGAAACGATTAGAGTCAAAGAAGAAAAGATAAAACAAAGTATCTACAAAAGAGAATCTACGAGAGACAGAATACAATTTGAGCCCAGAATAAAACTATAGTCGATTCATTAGTCTCGAGTGTTCACCTGCCTCTAGTAATTATTGATAAAAGAAAAAAACAAGATGAATAAAGCATCATGCTACCTTTAGAGACCACTTAAAGTGGATTGCGTGTAATAACCAGTCAATCAATTAATCGGCGTAATCGACGTCGGTGATGAGGTAGATGTGTTTCGTTCGTGTAGAGTTTAGAGTAGCCGACGACGTCGAAAAGTTAGGATGCGACGAGTTGCACTCCTCACTGCACTTATGTTCGCCATAAGTTCACCCCAAGGCTTGATGGACGCTGACAGGTAAAAAACATTAACGTTAATAATTAGAAAGTCATTGCATAAATATACGTAAAATTAGTGTGTAATTGTGTCTATCAGTTTTTATTAAAATCAACTGACAACCAGTAATTTAATCAAACGAATAAATTACAATGACTCTTGCCGAATACCATAGATAACACAACACAAGATTACCGACTCTCAATTTCGATATTCTTAATTTCATAATTTTTTTACAGTCTCTACAGCGACAACGCCACTAAAAATCATATGACAAGGGCACGCATCGTTTTGCCCGAATATTATGCAAAAGGTTCGACATTCTTCTCAGAAACGATATCCAAGAGTTGACCAAATAACGACTAAATGTCATGTAGATATATTCGAAGTAATATTAGTATAGTTGCCGCACGATATATCAATAATCAGGATATGGGAAATACGTAATTTTAATTTTGAAAATTTGTTTTTCAAGAGATCAGACCGCCTTCAAAAAAAGGAACACCAGTGGTGGTAGATTTTAATGTTTACGTGGTGGACATTAATTCTATTAACGTAGAAGACATGGACTTTCGGTGAGTAATCCTTTATCTTTAACTCTTAACATCTTAGCGAACAACAATAACCATGAGAGGTACACGAGTAATTTATCTGAATAAAAAAAAAATAAAAAAATATTTATAGGGTGGACATGTTTGTTCGACAAAGTTGGACGGAATTAAGATTACATATGCCGGAAGACATATTTGAGGATGGCAACGATTACGTGACATTGCCTCCGGAACTCTTTGACAACTTATGGCAGCCAGATCCATACTTTCTGAACTCGAAGGTTTCCGGTGAGCGGTTTGCAAAATACGTATCGATTTAACAATTTCTCAAACGAAGTTATTATCGTTTGGCTTAAGTTCCTCATCTCTGTTTTCATTCTATACAAAAAATTGCTGTCATCTTTGCCTAACAATTTTTTCCTTAGCATGCTCATACGGATTAAGAGCGAATGAATATCCGTCCGTTATTACTGGTAAAACTTGCATGCAATCGCACGCGTACAGTAATAACAGCCACATTAAAATAAATTAACCCTTTTCATTTTCTTTTTTGGGTTTTCTCAGAGATTGCTACACTCACCCACAAGTTTTCGTCGGTGACGGTTTATCGAAATAAAACAGTCAGATATGCGGCAAGGATGCACGCCATTATCGCTTGTCAAATGGAATTCCAGTTGTATCCAATGGATATTCAAGTCTGTCCTATAAACATTGAGAGTTGTAAGAATTTATTAACAAGTATAATCAATTTTTATAAAACTAGGTACTCGAGTTTTATGCGATTTTTCGTAGTGCGATGACGGTATATGAACAAAAGAAGAACGGTAAATGTAACTTGTTGACGCACCTGTCGATTTTTCATATTTTTAGTTTCATACAACAATCAGAAGTTGCGTCTACGTTGGGGCGACGGCGGCGTTACGGTAAATCCTGAACTAAAGTTGCTTCAGTATAACGTGGGGAAACCATTGCAACTGGAAGAAACGACAGGCTTCATGTTAGACAAAAATGGTCCGGTATTCGAATAATAATAATAATCAACAATTTGCTTGATTGCTAAGAAAGAGAAAGATCTTTGACAGGAATCAAAGAAATAAATAAAGAACATTATTTTTTTGTCCAGGAAACTTTTCCAGATTAGTCATTTACTTTCGATTTGAAAGACAAATTGGACATCATCTTATACAAACCTTTGCACCATCCACCTTGGTGGTAATGTTATCCTGGTTCAGTTTTTGGCTCGGTTTGGACGCCATTCCTGGGAGAGTAACCCTTCTGGTGACGAGCATGTTAACTCTTGTTACTATGTTCACCGGGCTGAAAACAGACATTCCACCAGTAGCCTATGTGAAGGTATACAAATTATCGACGCAAAGAAATCGTTTAAACAATAAGGAATGATAATAAAGTCTTGATCTTGCAACGCGAGGTTTACAGGCCCTGGACCTGTGGATGGCCGGCTGTATGGTCTTCGTATTCGCCGCCCTGGGCGAATTCGTCGTTGTCAAGGTATTGGATTTGCGCTGTCAATTGGAAATAGATGCGCTCACGAATTCGACTATCCCCAGGTTGCTCTCAGCGGTAAGAAATGAAATAAAATACGTATTAAAAATTTCCTCTTTATTGCTGACAAGAGAAAGAATGAGGCAGGTTCACTTTCACAAAAAAATGGATATTTTATGCCTTTTTCCCATATCCTAAGTTTATTTTAACGAGAGTAACTTAAGAAAAAAGAAGACAAACTATACCTTAATTACTGATAGCGTATCTCTCTTATCAATTTGAATATGTCCTTATCTCAACGATTGACCAAGAGAGCTACGCACAACGGTAAGACAATGATTACATCGAAATTCTGTGTTCTGAATTAGAGAGCCTGTCTCGCTGAATTAATATTATACAATAGTTATGGATATGTAAAACAATAAGAGACAATAAGATTTTACAAATTAAATACTACAAAACCTACGTGGACTTGGATAAGTAATACAAATATTTTCTAACTCTATATCACAGAGAGTCGGTGCTACTGAGAAGGGTCAATTCATAACAGCATGGGACTGTGAATCCAATTGCATGCAACAATCGCGTAATAAGAGAGTCGGAAGTCGTCATCTCTTACACAATTCCTGGCTAGAGACTGAGGTTGCTTCTCAATACGTAAGCGAGACAAGATCAATGCTTATCGATCGTCACAGTCGCATAGTATTTCCGGTATTGTTTCTCTTATTTGTTGTATTGTACTGGCCGATACTCCTTCTCAAGAAATCTTCCTAACCGTTGAATTATACATTAAAAAAAAAACAGGAAGAGATTTCACAAGATGAATGCAGGAGTAAGCTAAACAGTTAATTGGTTGACAACACGATACATAGTAATAAACCTAACTGTTATTAACTCAACATTTTTACTATTCTCAGTCGCGTTAAAAAATTATTTTGAGTTTTAAGCTGCGCTTAATTGTCTCCCAATAGTTTTGACCTTTACTTGAAGATAAAAATGAGGATAACGCTGCATTCCCGTTATAAATGAAAACAAAACTAAGAATAGTCGATGTGTTCTTTCGATTCTTTAACATTTAATAAATTTAACATTATTATGAATTGCGTGTCACCTTGACTTAAGGGTAATCAATTCTGTCGATAGATAGGAATTCAAACTTGTTCATTTAAAAATTGTACAGTTTGTGTAAAATAAAATTAAAGTATTTACTGGGTACGAGCTAGTCATAGGTGTAATTAAAAAAGTATTTAACTTGTATCCATCTTTTCATTTTCATTATCATCATCATCATTATCACCACCATCATCGTCATCGACTGTCACGACAATCTCGTTAGTTTTCGTTGACTTTAGCTCTCCTATTCTCTGGATGTATTTCATTGTGTAGTTATTGAAATCGCAGCTGAAATAAAAGAATCAATTATTTATATGATAAGGTAGTAATGTAAACATTGGCAGTATTAACAAGGTTAATACAGGAATACCAACATCTTAGTTAATTCTTCGTATTTCTGCTGCATATTTTTCTGTATTGTCAGCAGAATCGGCATTGACGATGTGGAATTAATTCGCGGACCATGTATTGTTAGTATAGTTTCTACCCAAATTAGATAAAAATGTACATGTCTGGTACGTTCTAATTCTGCAGCAATAAACTTTAAAATTCTTTCAACGTATACGTCCGGCAATCCGGCAACAGTTAGGGCCACTGTAAGAGTAAAAGCAATTAATTAGATTCTAATTAATTGATAATTAGTCGAATTCACTTAGTACAAGCACAACTTACCACTTTCATGAGAAATACTTTCCACCACTTGTTGAATTAGAATTTTCTCGTTGAGCTTCAGCGCCATAAGAAGGGCTGTAATAAGATGGAACAATCACTTAAATATTTTTTCTTTAATAATTTTAAAACTGTTCCTTATTTCATCAATTAAAAAACCTTCTGTGTAATTCTTGTTACGCAGAGCTTCCTTGGTAGTATCTGGTGTGATACCGAGTGCCAACTGGAAGGGATCGAAGACTAATCCTATGTCCAAGGAATAAATTAAAAGTCCTTCGGTAGTAGCTGCTGTCCAAGCTTGTCCTGTAAAAATAACATACTAGCATGTCCATTGTACAACCTAAACTTGTTAAAAAAATGTATTAAAATACATGCGTTCCTTACCTGTTGGTGAAAACTGTAGGCTGAATACACGAACTTCCGGTTTCATACTTCTGCTTGCCATATCACCTTTTCTTACACCGGGTAACCTTAACGTTACGTTTCCACCTTCATTCTCCTCTCGTTCTTCAACCAAGGCGATATTGCCAAACTCTGTCATCTTCCTCCGGTTTATAAAGTCCTAAAAAAGTATTTAAAGGTAACTTCACTTTTGCACCAAAGAAAAAAGGAAAGAGTATATTCCTTCAATGTAAAATAACACTCACGTCTACTGCATCCAATGAACGATTCTGTGTAATTTCAAATTTCTTCACTAGAACTGATTCTTTGACATTATAAATACATACATTCTTTGAATGTCCTCCAGCAAGGATACAAGTACCATCAGCAGTGTAACAAAGGCTCGTAAAGGCTCTAAAACAATATATCTATATATCTTGAAATTAAACATATTTTTCCATTCACTTACTTCCCTTCCAAGCTTTTCTTCGCAGTAATTAAGTCAGTCTCAGACCTTCCGCTTCCCAGATCTTTCTTTCCCTCTATATTACCAGTTTGATCAGACGTCCTCGTGTCAAAGAATGAGATCTGTCCATTAAGAGTAGCAACAGCGACTTCCTGTCCATCTGGTTTGTAAGCCACACACAGAGCATCTGCTGTTAGCTGTACTGTTTCGTGAGCGGATCCATTTTCTATGGCGTTCCATAATCTCAAAGTTTTGTCCCAGGATACTGAAGCCATCGCAGTACTCGCAGGACTTGGACTGAATGCCAAGCTCATTACAGGACCCTCGTGTCCAGCTAAAATCTAAAAGCAGTTCCTCTGTTCAGAGTTCTGGATAAGCGTAATTTATGATCACAATAATATCTAAATGGTTTATACCTCGAGCAGTGTTCCCAGTTTCATGCTCCAGAGATAAATTTCAAAGACGTCCTGACCGCCAGCGGCCAGGAACTCGTCACTGGAGTCTATGGCTACACAAGAGAACTGTACAGGTCTAGGTGATGTCAGAGTACGGAAGTTGCGGTATCTGGTTAAGTCATAAGCCCTAACTGTTCCATCGACCGATGAAGAGACCATGAACTTCCGGTTATGACTGAAGAGTATACCGGATACTGAAGATGCATGTTCCTGGAAGGTCACCGTGCAGAATCCTGTTGCTGTGTTCCACAACTTGACCTTACCGTCGTCACCGCCGGTTACTATGAACTGACCGTCAGGAGAATAAGCTACGCAGTTCATATTATTACTATGTCCTTGTTGTTTCATGGCATACGTCTCGCTCTGCCATTCCCAGACAAGCAGTTGACCGACTTTTGAACAAGCCAGGGCAATCCAGTCGCCAGTATTGTTAAGGGCTATGGACGTAATATCCTGGTCCGATATGCTGTAAAAAATAATCAATTATTAATTTCTCCCACTAGAAAAAAGTAATAAGTGATACAAAGGTATGTTTATAAAAACAACGATCACCTGAGAGAATGGATCATGTTGACTTCAGGCATTTCGTAAAGGAAGAAAGCTCCATTGCTAAAGCTAACGACAAGAATTTTTATGTCTACATGATATGCTGCTGCAGTAAGAATAATATTTCTATGCTCCTTACGAAGTTCATTTGCTAAGTAATGCCTAGCCAATCTTTTGTACAGTAATTTCTTGTTGGAATTTTTCTTATCTCTTTTATCCTCGTCATTTTTAATTACTATTTCATCTGCATCTCTTTGTTTTGCTGGTTTCTCCAGAGCTCTTTGCAAATCGACATCGTCATCGCTATCACTGTCTGCTGGCTTATTTCTCTTTTCAGATGGCTGCCACGGAGTGAATTCCTCAGGATCCAATGCGCACTCCCATACACAGAGATAACCATTACTAAAAAAAATGTTCAGCACAGAAGTTTATTGGTTTTTCAATAAGAAAGAAAAATAATACTCACCGACTAATTGTGCTAATATCATAATTATTTTTCTCAAAAAAACAGCCTACAATCGTATCTGAATGGGTGCCTAAAGAATATACTCTGAAATCCGCCAATTTTTCAAGAGAATAAAGTTTGGTTGTTGTATCTTTTGATCCCACAGCAATTAATTTTGAATCAAAAGACCAATCAATACATGTGGTATCATCAATGGCTGCATGGAAAACTCGTTCCATGCAGAATGGATTGAACTGACCAATTTGTAAACCAGGTATATTGTAGACAAAAACTAAAATTAAAATCATCATCTATATGTATATTTTATCTATATGCAATAAACAAGTTTATATTAAAATTACAATACATAATATAATATTTACCATTGCTTTCTTTGCATATGGCAAAATGTTTGCCATCTGGTGAGAATTTGAGTGCGCGTACTTTCTTTTTAAAACGAAGTTTATGTATTATCATTCGACTAACCATGCTAATAACATGTGCTTCTCCTTCTGCAAAAACACAGAGATAACAACAGCCCATCAAATAGAGCATATATAGATTTTATAAATAAGAACATTACAATACTTACCCTCATTAACAGCGACCAGCGTATATCCATCATGAGACATATCCAATGTTGTATAATTAAATCTACTCTCCACAGGTAAAGTAGAAGATTTATTACTGGAAAAGTAATAATTATACAAATAAGAATAATTAAAATTAACATCAAAACAAATAATTGTCAGCAAAATTCATAACCCTCACTTTTTGAGATCAAATATTGTTATTCGATTACCAACTGGACTGATAACGGAATTTCCATCCGGAGAAAATAATACATTTCCATTGCGATATACTGTTCCTAGTAGATTGCTAAACTGTAAACAGAAAAAAAATTGGAATCATAAGATAGAATTATTTTTCAGGTTAGCGGCAATCACATGCAGCAGCATTAGAACTTTTTTCATATTTAGCAATTATAATAACCGTTACATATTCGAATAGCTAACGTACCTTATACGCAAACTTCATCTTGTTCGAAATAAAATAAAATAATCGAGATTTACTAAAATAAACAATCTATTCCCCTGTATAAATACCGATCACGTTTTCTCAACAATTTCAAATACAGCAAACTCGCACTTCCGGCTACGTTCATCTAGTCATGTGTTTGAAATCGGGCGTCGGCAATTCAAGAAATAGCTCAAAGAACTTTAATAAATCATTAGAATTATTCGTATCCTTTTCGTTATTCTATCGAAAAGGAAAACATTAATTCTCGTAGAGAACGCACGTTGAGATATTAATTAATCAGAAATCAAGGAATTTGTATGAGCGAGGTATCAGATAGAAATAATACAATATCAGTATAAAGTTAAAAAGAATACAATTCAAACTTTATGTTACGAATAAGAGTAATTTAGTTCGATTCCACTTAGCACATCCTTGGAAAAAGGTCGTTATCAATTTGCGTAATATTTCAAAAGTTACGTGAATCTGGTAACTTTCCTCCATTGATCAATTGGCTACGTTCACGTAAAAAGATGGCGATCATGTGTTTAAAATAGGGCGTGAACATAAAATAGAAAAAGTGAATAAACGTCGAACATAAATCGAAAAATTCAACGATAAGACATCATTAATAATAATTAAATAATGTGAATGCATATTAATATAAATATGCAAGAATAATATTAAGAAATTCTAAATAAAATAATCGGATTGTAAGTCACGCGGTAGCAGAAGATACAGCGCCATTATAATCGGGTTAAGCGCCCCACTTGGCTAGCGGGCCTATTGAGAAGCTTGACGTCAGCTATAAAAGATGAGAAAGGCAACATGATTCGCTTTCGTCGAGGCAGCGCGCAGTTGGGAGCCAATAGAAAACCGGTAGATATCACGAAGGAGCGCAGCCACTCCGCCTCTCCTGTCTCATTCGTCACATGACCCTACGGCACTGTACAGTAGGCCATATTTGACAGTGGCACTAGTTTAACGAAGTGAGTGCGTGAAGAAGATCGTTCTTTGAGCGGCTGCCCGTGTTCGAAGAACCTGTAAATACTCGCGACCAGCTTGAGAATTGTATTCAGCGGACCTACATCACTAGAACCCTCAAAATGAGCACAAGCGCAGACAATCCCATTTACGGGCCGTTCTTTGGAGTTATGGGCGCCGCCTCAGCCATTATATTCTCCGGTAAGAGCCCTCTACGTACTTTAGCAATGGATTCGTCACGATGGATTCTTTATCCTCTTAGGAAAGTTGAAACTTTTGATGTCCAAAAAATCAAGGAGAAAATCATTATTCGTTGAAATATCCTTACCTATGCTATAATATATCTGTACGTTGTGGGAAATGGATTATTGGAAGCACTACTCATCACGTTCACTGTCGGTGTACGCCATTTGCTCAATCTGGAACGTGTGATTTCATGAAAACCAAATTACTCGACCAGGATCGATAAGAATCAACCGTAAAATCGAATTTCATAATTTGAGGAAGATTTTTATAAATCAAATCTTATCGACGTATCCATAATACGGTAATTGATTGTATAGAGCTGTAGAGTATATCAGGAAGGCTATGGAGGATTCACCGGTTAATTGTAGAGGAAGAGAAGAGAATTGGAAATAGATATTAGAGTCTAAGAGATAGAATGAGAGAGACGATCCAAGGACAAGGCCTTTAGGAGAGGTTCTCGCCATTTTCAAATAGCTCTATAGGGGAAGGTTATTTCGTAACGGGCGGAAAAACGTGGCTGCGCATAGCACGCCCGGAGAAACTCATGGACAACGATTTCGTAAAGTGACCTCGATCGGGAGCGCCGTCTTCTGGATCTTAAGTTATACATTATTCCCTATGTAATTATTAACCCTTTGCACTCGACTGTCCTCTGTCAGGCACCGAAAAGTATAGAAAATGGGAAAATTTCTAGTGCAATGGGTTAAATTCCTCGATCATCTAGCTCTATGCCTTGTTTCCACGATAGAGCCACGGGCATTTGTTGCGCGCAGCTTTCGGGGCTTTGGCTTCGAGTCGTGAAAATCAATACGAATCCCTTTTCCGGCGCACGAGTCACTGTTCTCATCAAGGGAGTATACCTAATAATGTGTCTTCTTGACACAAAGGGACTCAATAGTCTCTTCTCTCTCTCTCTCTCTCTCTCTTTTTATTTCACATTACTTTTCAATGATTCCTCTTGGCCCCGTAGACCCGTTGTTCCTGGTACATCCTGAAAGTAACGTCCAGGGTAAAATCTTCCACGTTAGCGTGCTCGTCGTCGCGACGTCGGCGTTTCGAGGGACGCGAGAATTCTCTTGGTAGACAGCCAAATGGGCCAGGCATCACAGAAGAAGAGGATGAAGATGAAGGAGGCTCCTTCTCTTTTTCTCTCTCACTCTTCTTTGTGTATGTCTTTCATGGCCTTGGTATATAGCCAAATCGCTTAAAACGGTATACAAAAAAAAAGCCATAAGACTAGCTAATAAGAATTTATTGATCTTATGGGAAACCAATATCTCTCGGATTGATTATTCAAGCTTGAAATAATATAATGGCTGACATTAGTATGATTTGCCAGAAAGTCTGCTAATTTATCTGTTAGGTTTGCACATTCCTTCGCTGTTACACTGTGATGTGTCCGGGAATTTAAAAATGGCGTTTGCTCGTATTACTTCTTTCTTTGAGGAATAACATTTCAGCATCTAGGGCAACGGGCACCATTTTGCCAGGCTTTACGTAATATCGATTGCAAGGGATCGTTATGGATTACACCTTACACAAAGAGTCATTGAACAATTAGAATCAATGTAATTATTGGTATCGAACCAGATTCGTGCAACTCCTTCAGAGTCTAAAAAAAATATTTGCAACGTTCACAAAAGTCGAAAAATCAATTCTCGAAGAAATCAGTAATATAAAACGAATTAAATTTTCTTTAATGATAACATGTATAATTGTAAAAATAATTGTGTAGCCAACTGCAGGCAAACGAAGAACGACAGAAAAGTAGTGCAAAGACGTAGGATTTGCCACGGCACATTGTCTCACGACATTTATTTGGACGAGAATTGAAAAATGATTGTCATTATTGAGAATTTTGAAAAATACAAAAAAAAACCAATCACCAATATTATACCCAGCACGTCTCGCCAACGTGTAAATTGGGACCACGCCCCCTTGCTCTCTAGGGGACTTACATGATTTGTCATGTGACTGAGAATCATGTGACGACTGCCATCTCTGGGTTGGGCACTGCACGTTTCTATTAATCGTTCTGATGCTAATTTCTGATTGCTTAAAAATGCTCCCAGCTGGTTTTACAGGCTTTACTTACTTGCACCAACAAAGATTAATTTATATATTTATTAGGGCCTGGCCATATAATTCAATTCTAATCGCTTTGTGTAGAATCGGTTGTGCTGTTATTAGCCATGAGTTAGGGTTAGGTTGGTCGCGATTTTTTTTTTATATACATACATTCTAAATCTTATCCACTGTCTGATTATTGTTAGTTATTAAATACAATACCCGTCTTATTTATAGGACGCAATATCTAGTCAAACTGTTTTACCGACTGATAATTACCATGTGAAATAATTATTTGCTTCCATGGTCACTGCACGAATTACTGAACCATACAGGGAATTCATTTATTGACGGAGACTGCTCAGAGTTTAAATGGACAAAATTATTTGGAATATATTTACATGAAAAAGGATAAGTAAATTAATAAGTACCATACGAACCATTGAACTTCATGCATAATACGGCGCGGAGCAACGACTGATAGAAAGGGAAAATAGATGACAGTAATCTGTATACAAATTTTTTTCTCGTGTTCAATATAAATTAATTGTACGATTATCGGTTGCGCGTACTATGTATAGAGATATTATCGTTGCCCTTGATAATAGTAATAAAGTTTAAAACGATACGAATTCGAAATATTAAATTATTTAAACTGGGTTTGTCGTTGGTCAATGCTAGCAGGTGTTCAGGCACTACGACGACTGGGAGCTGATTAGGCCAGTACAGTCAAGGTAGCATGAAAAAAAAAAGAAAAGAGAAAGGGAAGGTCACTTGTAACATCGAAATAATCCACTAGCAAGCTTTTGTCACTGCACGGCATCACGAGTATATGCAACCGTGAAATCGTCACGTGATTCCGATACGTCACTAGCTTGTTGCACACTATTAATTCCACGACTGAAAATATTATTGAATCGCCAAGATTCCAATCGACAGTAGAGCAGTTTTGTAAAATTTTTAACTAATTCATGAAAATTCTTATTTAACAGCACTTGGAGCGGCCTATGGCACAGCGAAATCTGGAACAGGAATTGCGGCCATGTCCGTCATGAGACCGGAACTTATCATGAAGTCCATCATCCCCGTTGTTATGGCTGGTATTATTGCCATTTACGGTCTGGTCGTGTCGGTACTAATCGCCAGTGTGCTGGATGAGCCCAAAAACTACACCCTTTTCCAGTAAGATATTATCTGTTTATCAATGAAGTAACTGTCAGTCTTGTCCTAGAGTTAATAATGTGCCACGAAGCAAACGAACCCGTCAGACGGCCATCCTATGGAAACAACGAAAGATCTATTAATACAATTAAGAGGATTGCATCGTAGCAGTACCAGCGGGATGATCGTGAAGCTCCACTTTGAAATTTTCGCTTCCTCGTTCTTCATCTGCGTTTCGCATCTCCGCTCCTATACCTACCCTCGTGCTGAAGATCTTGACGCGGTTACTTTTGAACTGATGGATCGATGGCTTCTATCACGACGATGGTCGAGGGAGATGGTGGTGGTGGGTGAAGGCAATACGGAGGGCACTACTTCTATTAATAGAACGCGTGGCTGGCTGCGAGACACGAGACTAATTTAACCGCAACTGTCATTAGGTCGTTTTTAAACCGGCGTGTCTGGTACCCGTGGGTGTTACGCCTTCTGCCACATGGTTGAGCTATGGAAAGGGAGGGAGGGTTTATTGAATTTTTAAATTTATTCTAGCTTTCTTTTTGCACTCTGAATCTTTTACTTTCTCTTGGCAGATCAAATTTGCGCGGAGGATTTCCACTTGTCTAGCGTTGTATGATGCCATCCTTGTTCAATAGAATAATGTAGAATCTACGTACGGTGTTCTCGAATGATTTTCTCATATTTGAATATTATAATCGATTGATCGTTGTTCGCTCTTACTTTTTTTAGGGGTTTCACTCATCTTGGTGCAGGATTGGCGGTAGGATTTTCCGGTCTGGCGGCAGGCTTCGCCATTGGCATCGTCGGTGACGCTGGTGTGAGAGGTACCGCTCAGCAACCACGTCTCTTCGTAGGAATGATTCTCATCCTCATTTTCGCCGAGGTATTGGGTCTGTACGGTCTCATCGTCGCCATTTTCTTGTACGCCAAGAAGAATTAAAAAGAAAAACAAAGAACACAAAAAAACAAACAGCGAAACAGCCAATTTCTGAATAAAGAAAGAATAATATTAATCATAATAAGAAAAGCAAAAGAGATACAGATGAACAACTACAGCAAAACAGGAAGGAACAACGCTCCCCCACTCTATTTACTACGTAGCGACAAGGAAAAAAAAAAGAAGATACATAACTCTACAGTGACACCGTACACGCCGCGTTTTATCACGTTATACTTAAAATGTTCGCATTAAAAAAAAGAAGCATCTATACAATTTCCTATACATCATCATCGTCCATATCTTTGCGTTGTATTACAACGTTAACATGTCGTTTTAAGTAAGGATTTTATCTTTTGTCGCGCAACCTGTTTTCGATTTTCTGTTTTTTTTGCCAAAATTTCTAATATTAACGAAGCATTCATGTACACACACACAAACACAGCCGATACACTGGTCTAACTTACACTGATCGCAAAAAATCTTATTTCATAATATGAAAAATACATAAAGTAACGAACGTCCGTCGTATCGGCCATTTGGGGGGAGGGGTGGTGAGATGCAAAGCTGTAATGAAAAGATCGAGAAGTAAGCTGACAGAAGATAAGATACTAATATAAAGCGAAAGATCAAAGAATGGAAACAGAGAACACACACCCCCTCTAATGCGCACGACCTGCCGAATAGACGGTGCGAAAACTCCCCTTCTCTTTCATTGTATAGTAATCATTTCTAGTATAGTACGGCATTGAATTATCACCTAAATTAATCGGCTCTATCGAGTGTATAAAGGAAAAGGTTATCGATAAAGGAATACTTAGCACAATTATATATATATAAAAGAAATATATATTAAAGAGCAAGTGAATGAGAAACAGGAGACGGCGGTAGGAAGGCGACACCGAATAGATACCAGTGTCAGGATGAAGATTTACTCAGTTTCATCAGAAGTGGACGACCAATGGTGCTAGGCAAAAAAACGAAAGTTATTCTTGAATCAAAGGATCACGTGAACTAGTTGCTTGTACCGCCACACTGATGAAGACGTACATAGGGCTTGAGAGAGAGAGAGAGAGTGAGAGTATTATAAAATGAAACGATGAACCATCTTAACGCTCTCGAGGATGATCCTCGGCGTTCTAGGCCACCCGAGGAGAGTGCTCGTGTTTGCATTAGAGAAGCGTATAAGGTCGTACGAGTAGTTACGATGCCTGCGAATGTGCCAGCAGGGGAACGAGAAAAATATCAGAAGAGGAATGGTGAGAGGGGACACAACACACCACGTCGAGCAAAAGAGATAAAAAAAACTACAATTTGTACATTCCATAATAAGTTCGTTCGGTCCGAGCGAGCCGCCGGGATACATGGGCCAAGTCCATAAACACCGGGTAACCACGAGGGAGCTGCCCAGACCAGGGTACGTGGTACCGGACTTCGACGTGTCTCCGGGAGTTAAAAGTGGTCTTCGTTACCCCCGACGCGCACACAATGAACGACAAACGCTGTCCGTGGGACCGATCGTCTGGGAGCTGGCGCTCGGTTCTACCAGACCATTGAAACGTTTTACCTCGTCATCTCCGCTGTTGCGTCATCTCTTATGACCAATCGAAAGGCGCAGAAAGAATAGGGAGTTCACGAAGAACTACGAATTCGGGTCGTCGGAGTATATAAAACGAGACTGTCCAGAAAATCCTGGTACGGCTGACTCGGCAGCTTTTATTGACTGTGCAGTATTTCACGGACACACGATGGGGATATTTAAAATGATATAAAAAAATGAAAATGATAAAAAAAATGAAAATATATATAAAATACAAAACGAGAAGCTCAACCTACGACGCGTTCCTAATGACGGAGACACTTCCTTGGTACTCATGATGACTTCCGAACGTCCGGAACGCATCGCAGTTCTACTACCGGGATTGAAAGGCGCCACGATCACAGCCCGGATGACAATTTAACCGCGGATGCCCAAGAACCTAGAGAAGTATAGATAGAACGTAAGAGCTACTAAGGTGACGACGACAATTCTCTCTAACTTCCGTGTTGGACGAGAGTGCACGAGGACGAGTAATAGCTAGGGTGGGGGGTGGGGGAGGGGTCAAGGGGTTACCCATGTTTATAGTGACTCTAGGAAAATTAAGCCATGCATCTTTTTTGCCCACGGAGCGATGGTGGTGATTTATGATAATGACAATGATTATCTCGGCGAAAACGACTACCCTGATGATTGATGATAACAGTGGTGGTGGAGAGCTCATTTTTTGAAAATCAATCCTTCGTTATTACAACTTGTTCTAATTCGTGGGGACACGTTGGAATACAAATAACAGAGAGAGATAACAACATCCAGCTAGATAAGAAGTTACACTCACGCATACGATTTTAAGAGTGATAGGAGAACAGCGTTACGATACACACAATTTATAAGCTGGTAAACCGCGATTCTTAAATAGCAGTTCTCGCTTTACGTACCAAGCTTCGTGGCTATTATAATAATTTCAACACTATTATTACTATTAACAATCGCAGACACCCAGTAAATGCATTGGGCTAAAAATTGTAAAACGAGTACTTCAAAGGTTTACTTGTGACTCGTTACCGATGCTAGTATCATCTATTGTGTTAATTGGCTGTTAGAATTAAATAAGAAGTTCGAATGAACAGACTAATAATACTTCCTGGCCAATCACATTTAATTGTCGAAGTCTGGGTACTTGCTAAATATCCTTTAAATGCCACATAATGTGGAAAACTTGTACGCGGGAGACTTTAGTCTCTAGAATATGTGTGTGTGTGAGAAAGAGAGAGAGCAAGAGAAAAATTGTGTGAGAGTGGGCCTCCCTTTGCAATCCTCTTCCACTGGTTTAGGGAGTGTAAACAAGAGCGAGAAAGATATGAAAAATGTATGGTTCGATGGGAACGAAAAAAGAATGAGTGAGAGAGAAGAGGATATGAGAATTCAAGTTGCGTTATATAAAATACCAAACCCACCATCTATGAGCGTGCGCACACTATTGACATATGTATACACATTTTCACCTCCATTTTCCGCAAAAACAATATCGCCCCCTCCCCTCCCACCCTTGCTAGCGACCCTATGTACCCTACGTGTACTTTCTTCCAGTGTTAACTTGTAGATTCATCGTTGAGCGCTGAAAGTGATAATATGATCGATGATTATTTATGTTACGATTTGTCCTCGATGTTACAGAAAACCGTGTTTAATAAAAATTTAATTTGGACAAACATGCTTTTTACTTCTATCAAGACCTAGTTCCTGTCACTGATTAATTTTATGATAAATAATTGTACGTATATTCAGGTTCGTGTTTCGTTTCTAGGATAAATGCGTTTAATTTTACGCATGATGCATTAGAATAAAATACGTTGTTGATTGATTCTCGTAGCTTATTTCATTTTAAAGTTGGATGCTAATGAAATAGGAATTTATAATCAATAAATAGTGCTGTTTGGCGGAAGCAGCGATAAGGGAAAGAAGGAATGAAGTATAATGTTATCGGTAAGTATTTCATAAATTCAGAAGGAGAGGTGTCACGATAAATATTCTGAGTACAGTGGATAAAGGAACCCATCAGGTTAACGTTTGTCTTATAGTGAAGAAAAAACAGACACTTTATCGAAGGAGCGCTACAACTGTGAATACACTGCGCCCGGATTGGTTGTCTTCTTGTTGGTCGCCACATGGACCACTGAACTATGACTATACTGGAATCCGAACGGCAGTAG